ATTAGAAGTATAAATCCGATTTATTAATTTACATAGCGGCATTGAAATAATGTCAGCAGTATACTTAGATATTTCGGACTTCAAGATGTCAAAACCGGTCGATTTTCAATTTTTCAATGTGTTAATGATTGAGGTTACTTCAGTTACATCTACCGCCTCTAAGAAAAATGTACTTTGATTTATCTTCCTTTGCGGTCTAGTTTTGTTTGGCCTCACAATGCGTTCAGTATAGTATTTGCCAATATTTACAAAGAAATCGTTAAAACTTATTCGCAATTGTTATTGGCGAATCACATAATTCATTTTCAGCAACTATTTCCTTAACTGCACATTTAGAACTGCCTTTACAGAGTTTTTTTATCTCCGTTCCACAAGTTCTTAGGAGTATCTTTGTTTTTATTTATTTGTTTCTTGTAAAAATTGTATTTAGCATTTCGTATGAGTTTTCTAATTTCTTCTTTTATTCAAGATATCTTATCCCCACCTGCTCATTTTCTGGCTGCATCAAGTACTCAGAATATAGACGATTTTTTTCATTAACAGAATTTACACTACCAGATGTGATCCAAGGCTTTCGCTTGATCTCGCACCTATTAAATTTTTGTGTGGTTGTATTTTTATTAGTTAAAGATCTTAATATGTCACTAACATTCATACTTTTACTTCAGTTATAATTGTCTGGATATTTTTTCTGACATCCCCATAATCATTCAATTCACCAAATTGTATAGTATTTACATTTTTCAGACATTGATTGTATCTTTAGTTTCAGTTTTGACAAACCCAAGCACAAGCGCAAACTTTTTCGGTGTTTATTGTGCACGATATATAATGTTTGCCTGTACTTTGTAGCAATAAACATTGTTATTATTAAAAAAAATGAAGAAAAATTCAAATTACATTTAACAGTAATGGTGAAAAAGGTTACGTGATTTTGGCACGCTACATGTCATTTAATGTATCTCTAGTTGTAGTATCTACATTGAGTTTTAACGCTATAGGATAGTGATTAGTAATTTTCGTTTGAAGAATAACGGGTGCCAAGGTCTACTTTGATTTTCAATTCGAGTGTAGGAATTTATCATAGATTTGTAATTATTTTCGGACAAACATTCGAGAACCATTTAATCCAGATAGTTTACACCATGTCAATTCGTTATCTAGTTCGATTTACTAATCTGCAGCAAGTACGTACATGCGTGATAATATCAACCTGTGTCCATTAATTTACTATACCAACAAGCACTTAACAGAACTACAACTGTTTGCGAGTTCGAAAATAGTGGTCAGTTTGGTATGCATTTACGACTGCATTGTAATTCAGGTAGACCAGGATCCAAACATTCATTCCAGGGATGATCAGATATTACTTTTTGATATGTAAACAGCTCATACGGTGATTATTTGATCTTAGAGAATAGAGACAGCTTTTATCTTCCACGCCACTAGCGAGGAAGTATTGTGACCGTGAACAATTTTAAAAACGATTTGTTAAATGTTATATGACGTACATCTCAGAAAACCATGGATTTTGATAGAATTTTGACAGGAAGTTACTACTAGCTGATGAAGGAAAAAGCATTGTAAGTATTGAAAACCACTTTAGTGGAGCAGAGCTAGGAACAAAAAACAAAAAATATAAAAAACCTCAAACTTTGTTTTTGCACGTTTCAGAGGCTGCTAAACTTTTTTAAGATTCTTTTTGTAGGAGCTGAACATTGAGATTGGGGTTGTAGAGGTAGGGATCGTACACGACACTGCTTGGATACTGTAACGCGTCAAACTTTTCCGCCTAATCATTTCTGGAGGGATTGAATTTGATATTGCAGATCTTCTGGACCCTAACAACTCGTTTTTATGACTTTTATATAAGTCTAGTCCCAACTTCAAGGACACCCCGTATGAATTGCTTAATTGAGTGTGATAATCCCGTCTGCAATTTTCTCGCGTTTATTTTATTTATATCTTAGATCATAGTTCCATGGTCCGTTCTGTCTTGAATAAATGTAACGCTCATTGAGCGTATAGATAGGTCATCGAAATTAATTTTTCATATCTTTACTGTTTTCTGATTAGGGTGGGTACACAATTATCAGAAGATTTCTTATTAAAGAATTTACGAAGCTATTACGACTCAAACCTAATATTGTGAAAGAATAAATTATTAATGACTATCAAACAGTCTATATCGGTATATACCTGTATAGTTATCTACTTAAAATACAAATTATTCAAAAGGCACTCCGGTTGAACACTACCTTCATTAGAGGTTTGCTTGTAGAAGAGGTTTGGGCAAAGAGAATATCCCTCATTATATCCAAATCATGAGTCCGGCATCGTGACCAAGTAGATACACATATTTGTCCATCTCTATTCCATAATGGTCAATCAGTTGTACGAGAAACTTCCTGTTAATTTGGTTTCCAGAGCGAAATTGTGATTTTCTAAGAAAAGTATTGACTTTGCAATATAAATATTACGCTTATAAATCATGTTTTATACTATTGTCGCAGACGTAACTGGCGTCCAGACTCCCTCGTATATTCGTCTTCCTCCGTACATCGATTTCAAGACACCGGAAGACAAACAGACGCATATTTCCCGGAATGCGCAACACCGAAGAAGAAGAAGTCGATGGCTTTCATTGCGCCTCCGAACGCCAACACCACCAGCCGTGCAGAAAGCAACTAAGATAGTTATACTGAAATTAACTATAAAAAGTTAGTGTATCCATTCAACATTCAAATATATAGTCAACAACAGGCCTTTCAAGATACATAACGCGTATTTAACGGACTCTCCTAGTCATATGAATCTGGTGGAGTCAATCAATAGTTTTGACTTAAAACAAGATAATCCCGAAATAAGTAACTTCGAACAAAGCAGATTAGGGCAAAGTTACCCGGGAATGCGGGCAAAGTCGATGATCTGAATCGTTTTATTTTGTGCTATGTATCTACTGAATAGCTACACTTAACAAAGAGTTGTATATTTTTTTCAATGGATTGATAAAGGATGAATTGATATATTTTCTCCATTTCCATATGTATTGTCCTTCCTGTAATAATGGCAAATTACTTCAGGTTTCACATTTCACGTATCTCTAGATGTTAGGAGGTTTCAATGCTCCATACTCTTAGATGGCAACGTATTACTATTCGTCATCAAACACGGTTAGACCAAATCAAGACATTTATTTTTACGGCTATTCACAACCGTACTAGCGTATTAGTATTCACTTGGATTTCAAGTGAATATCAAAAGAGATGAGGAAGTAATACGAGACAAAAGTCAATACTTTTATTGTTTTCATCCATACATTTTATTTACCCATTCTTATGGGCTACAGAATACAGCTGATGGAAAATATACTAAGTGACATATAAATCCGAACACCCAGTTTAAACGATTTTATTTTAATAAAAGTTGGTGAATGTATTTATCTTACTGTAAATAACAAGTGAAAAAATGTTCAGCCTTATCAGTTGGACATTCCGATTTTTATACTGCTTTTTTTTTCACTAACGCTCTAAAAATGAATATTTCAGCCGCAGTAAAGAATCAACGTTGGCGGATTTTGGTTCTTGACTAGAGTACGGAGACCTGTACGATTTCGTCAACTTAGTGAGTTTGATAGGGGCCATATAGTGGGACTTCGGTAAGCTGGACTTTCTTTTCAGGCAATTGCAATTAGAGTGCAAAGAAGTGTAGACACTGTGGTTAGGTGTTGTCAGGCATGGCTTCGAGAAGGCCGTACGCAAAGAGCAAGGGGCACTGGACGCTGCCGTAGAACAACAGACCGTGAAGATCGCCGCCTAAGATTATTGGCCTTAAGGGACCGTTTCTTCACTACCAGGTCCATTGTAAATGAATGGTTTGCAGAACACGGAAGACCTATTGGCATGCGAAGTGTTTACCGACGAATGAGAGGTTTTGGCTTGTTTTCATACCAGCCACACTGGGTCCTCCCTTTAACTCGAGAACACCGACGTAATCGCCTTGAGTGGTGCAGACAACGGTCACTCTGGGATCAGGAATGGAACAGTATTGTCTTTAGTGACGAGTCTCAATTTTGTTTAGGCATGCACGATGGTCGTGCCAGGGTTAGAAGGCGACGTGGTGAAAGGAGGAATCCACAGTTTTTTGTTGAAAGACATGTTCATCACACTGTTGGAGTTATGGTTTGGGGTGCTATAGCTTATGGTTCCAGGTCACCTTTAATCTTCATCAGAGGTAACGTGAACGCGCAGCGTTATATCCACGAAGTTCTATAACCCCGTCTTTTACCCTATCTTGACACCCTGGCAGATCCAACTTTCCAACAAGATAATGCCCGACCACATGTTGCAAGAGTCACAATAGACTTCTTTCAACATAATGATGGCACATTGTTACCATGGCCACCAAGATCTCCCGATCACAACTTTCACGGCATGTAATTAGCCCTCACGACATTGAATCGCGAGCAGGTGCTTAATCAATATCTCACAGCATCTTAAAAATAAATTCGAATAATCAGTCTAACGCAAAATCTCACAAGATGTGGCATGTGACTTTCCTTTATATTTAATTTTGTTTATGCGTTTGTATAGAAGTGATATTATTGATATTGCATAGCTACTTTTAGAAGTCAATTACAAAATGGGATTTCACCTGCTTGACGCATTTCATTCCTTGAAATCAAGAATGACGCATATTCTTTTCTTGAAAAAACAATGTAGGAAAACATGGAAAAATTGAAGTTTTGTACTGTTTGGCTAAATTTTCATGTGGCTGGTGTCAAGAAATGTAACTTCACAGATAAAAATCAGCTTCAACTTGTACATTGCTTATGCTTTTTAGCAGTCTGCCATGAAAGGTAGCATCATTTTTCGAGAAAATAATCCTAGAATTGACCATATGATAGAAGCTGTCCCCAAATGATGATGCGATTATAGATTCTCTTTCATTAACCCTGGTTGTTAAGTCATTTGTGAGGATAACCTATAATGAATATTAGATTAGATTACATTCTTACTCAAAATTTCACAAAGTACCGCAAGGTCGAACTGGGTTGCCAAGATCCTGAGTTGTTGAAACAGTTTATTTATCAATCCCAATCGAACTTTAATTTCCATGGTCTTCAATGGCTGTGTTATACTGTCGACCACTATCAAACGAATCTGTAAAAATGCTTAGTTGCATTGACTGTAGATAAATGAATATGAACGAAATCCGTTAGTAAAATGCATAACATGATCTCGGTAGCTACTACTGCAGATTTTAGTTAACTTACATTTTTCCCTTCAAGATAGTTGTCAAGTAGGAATATACGTATACATGAAAGAAGATCATCTCCAGAGGTAACGTCAATATAATAAATGTTTTCCATTATAGATTCTTCCGTGAGATCAATTTCGTTTTCCTCGCTACGAGACTTCAGTAAATTACAATCCCTTTGGAACTTTCTAGCTAACTCTGAAAGTACAAGATGCTACGTTAATAATATGTACTATTGAGCAAGGGGCACTGGATGCCCCCGTAGAACAACAAACTGTGAAGATCGCCGCCTAAGATTATTGGCCTTAAGGGACCGTTTCTCCACTACCAGGTCCATTGCAAATAAATGGTTTGCAGAACACGGAAGTGTTTACCGACGAATGAGAAGTTTTGGCTTGTTTTCATACCGGCTACACTGGGTCCTCCCTTTAACTCGAGAACAGCGACGTAATCGCCTTGAGTGGTGCAGACAACGGTCACTCTGGGATCAGGAATGGAACAGTATTGTCTTTAGTGACGAGCCTCGATTTTGTTTAGGCATGCACGATGGTTGTGCCAGGGTTAGAAGGCCACGTGGTGAAAGGAGGAATCCACAGTTTTTTGTTGAAAGACATGTTCATCACACTGTTGGAGTTATGGTTTGGGGTGCTATAGCTTATGGTTCCAGGTCACCTTTAATCTTCATCAGAGGTAACATGAACGCGCAGCGTTATATCCACGAGGTTCTAGAACCTCATCTTTCACTCTATCTTGACACCCTGGCAGATCCAACTTTCCAACAAGATAATGCCCGACCACATGTTGCAAGAGTCACAATAGACTTCTTTCAACATAATGATGTCACATTGTTACCATGGCCACCAAGATCTCCCGACTTATCCCCAATTGAACACGTGTAGGATATGATGGGTAGGAGATTGCTCAATTTGCAACGTCCTCCTCAGACTCTAGAAGCACTTCGAGAGGAGTTGGTGGTTGCCTGGAATGAGATACCACAGGAGGACATTGACCACCTGATCAGAAGCATGCCTGGGGGCGTTGGAGAATGCGTAGCACATCAGGGTGCATCCACACATTATTAAAGGTCAAAGGGCTTTAAAGCAGAGCAATCATTTTGTAAATTTCTATCATTTACTTATTATGCTTCATTAAGTACTTACACAAAGTTTTATTAAAATAAAACCATTTAAACTGGGTGTTCGGATTTATATGTCACTTAGTATACAAGGAATTCCCGATGAATATCATGGTGCAAGTAAACAAGGCAACCTCACTACTTGAATTTCAATCGCTGCATTCAACAGAACAGCTCTAAGTTGGAGGAATTGGACAAGAAGCAAAAGCGTTGGCTATAATCCCGTCCCATCTAGTAGGATGCAATGTATTGTTTCTTCAGTATGCTCTAAGAAGACAATTTCTTGTTTGGCACTCCCTAGCACTGTACCGTTTGCTGTAGTTTGCGTAGACGATACCAGATGACAGAGAGTACCCAGAATATCTGCCTTTGATTTTCAGATTTTTTTATATTGAGACTTAAGGTCCTTATATCTTTAATCTCGCATGTCTGTTGGTCTTGAAAAGTAGTAGTAGTGGATATTTATTTACTTAATTATATAATAACAATAACAACACAGAATGGGTAAATAAATGTTTCAATCCATAGAAGGACAATGCCTGTACATGCCAACTGACAGAGGGTACCCAGAGATTCTTCATTTGATTTTCTGATTTTTTTTTTTATATTGAGACTTAAGATTTTTATATCTTTAATCTCCGGTGTCTGTTGGCCTTGAAAATTAGTAGTAGTAGACATTTATTTACTCAATTATATAATGACAATATTAGAATCTGTAAATAAAAGTTTCAATCCATAGAAGGACATTGCCTGTACATGGATCAGTCGTATGTTGGAATGTGTTCCAAAATCAAAGCAAAAAAGCTAAAAGAAGCTCAAATATATGTTTATTGCGCGTATCCATTCCCATTAGTTTTTTTTAATTACGTGTATTTCGAAATTGTTTAAGTCTTGGGGTACGTGTTCATATAATTTTGGAACCAAATAGAAAAACATCGCTTCATTATGGTCTTATCAGGTTTAGGGACAGTTTCTGCTTGTGATTTATATCGTGTATCATGCCATGTGTGATTTTATCGCGCTCACTGACAACTTTGTGATAATGGCTGATAGTATTCAAAATATAAAGTTACTTGATATCAAATAATTTTGTTTCGTTATATAAATCATTTGTTGAATATAATTTTGGTTTTCCGAACATAATTTTCCAAACTTATTTTGTAAAACTTGAGAAGTACCGTGACTTTTCGATTATCAATTCTTGCTGTATCTGTGAGCTGGGTTATTCTACAAGGCCAACCAGCCAGTTATGTAGACTATTCAGCCGCAACAGTATCACGTTGCTCAAAATGCAGCACAGGGCGTCAGTCTACTTTTACATAAGCGACAAGTTCGTTCTAAATGCAAGAATTTCGTATGACATAATTTTTCAGTGACATCCATCCAAACAATCTACGGCACCGACATGACAAAGTACAATCTTTAATGGACACCACCAGCGTCGGTGGCATCTAGCGGTTCATAGTAACCCGAAGTTTAAGGCAAACTGAGATATCAGTGGTCGATTAAAGCAACTTTTTTATCTGCATGTAATAAATAGGTATAAGTCAGTCCAGGAAATGCTGAGAAGGAAAGTGACACGTGGAACCCGATTGGAGGAGAAATATGCTGAACAGCCAATACCAACTTGAGTGCTTTGTTTGAAAAAGGCATATGCTTTTGCTTCTAAAAAATTTGTACGGTATCTTTAAAAATATAACAACGAGATGAAAATCAGATCCTAGAGAAATGGATGATTTGGATAATATTTTCCTTCTTCCGATACCATACGTTGTATAACCACGACAATTACCGAAATGTAGTATTTCGAATTCGACGTTTCTTTTTAACAAAAACTGTTTTTGAAAAATCGAAAAACAAATAAGTTATGCGCGAACCACTGCTGCATGTTTAACATGGGGTACTGTGGAACCTGAACACTGATTACTCATGACGCATTTACAGCAAATAAAACTGCAAGCTCCCTCCACGAAAAGGGTAAAGAGCCAGAAGAATATACAAATCCTTGTGACTTAGATTATTCTGCTCTGATTAATATAATAACCATCAGCTTGACAAAGTAACAGGAAATATCTATACAGGTCATAATAAACATCATTTAGGCACATGAACATTGCTGAAATGCTAAGTTTGAATGTCGAATTGTCGAAACTAGTTTACGCGCTAACTGTATAAACTCTAATGTCGAATTTAGGGGAGAACGTCAAAGTTCTTATTTGTTCTGAAATTGACAAATTGCAGTCGATACTGCAATCAAATTTAATTAATCAATATTTCCATCTCGTCATATGTTACGTTGCACATTTCCAATCAACAGTTAGGTTATTGTGCCCCCGTGTGGGACAAATTTACATTATCGTGTGAATGTAACGTCATTAGAGCTCTTGAAACTAAGTCTCCATATATTTCTATATACGAATAATGAGACTGGACGTTTCATTGTTATAATCTTAATGAAACGGTTTACCAAACTAGACAAACATGCTGAAATGTAATGAGATCATAAAGGGACACCAGTGAATCTGTATCGGTGTATATAAGGAGGTATGTCAGAAAAACGTGTCGATATCGGCATACAGGAGATCAAATAGTAACACGAATAGTAAATAAACAAGTTTATAGTTTTATATATTGATATAACTTATTTTTGATCTCTATTTTTTAATTTCAAAATCATTCTCTCGGTAAAGGGGCATTTCAGGACATAACTTTAAATGGAAATTCAAATTATTAACTGGTGGGGCATATGTAGATATGCATAGTACACTTAAAAAAGTGAGTTGTTAGCTCTTTCGTTGGTACGAAACCCCCAAGAATTAAGAACCTTCAAACACTTCAGGTACTTAAGCATGGATGCAATGTTTTATCGTTGTACCACTGATCCGTTTTATCAGTCAAACCTAACACCTCATCGAACTTACAGTGATAGTTCTCGCCAAATTTGGGGAAGGGCTACTTAAGTATGCCCTGGAACCATTACTTATAATAACAAAATTGCAATACTGCGTTGGCCATCTCCTATCAGCTGCTAGATTGTTACCTCAACATCAATAAAGCTTCTGGTCCGGACTTGATTCATACCGTTATATCGAAAAGGTGTGCAGCGAAGCTCGCTCCAGCGTCTTGACACTTTCGATAAAACTGGAAATTTGCTCATGTCCTGATCATCCCAACAAAGGATCTAAGATTGACGTCTTACAACTGCAGACTGGTAGCTCTGATTTCTGTTACAAGTAAGGAGGTGGAGAGATACGTACACCTAGATCTAAAGCTTCTGGAGTACCTTGAACGTTGCGGGCTGATTAGTGCCAGGAAGCATAGTTTCCGGTACCAGCGATTAACACGGGACCTCCTAGCTTACATCACAGAACTGTGGAGTACACTCGTCCATATCTCATAGTGAGGCTCGTGTGCAGCTCTTGATATCATGAAAGCATTCGATCATGTGTGACAAGCTGCCCTTTTATGCAAATTTCTGTACCATGGCAGAAAAGTTTTTCAAACGGGTGGCTGATTTCCTCTATGACCGCAAGATATCTATCGTAATTGATGGATTCTTTACTTCATCCCACAACGTTAACGTCCAGGGATCAGTCGTGGCTCCAAAATTATTCGTCTTACATATCAATGACCTGTCTTCCTGTACGATCAATCCGTCCCACAGCTTTGCTGATCACAACACTGTACATGCAAGAATTCAGAGTGACAAGCCGATCTCTGCCAGTGAGCTGGAGAAAAGAAGAGTAGCAGAAACTTTCTCTCTAACGAGAGACCTGGAGGCTATCAGTGCTTGGGGACACAACAATCTCGAACAGTTTGATGCTTCCAAAACACAGTACTATACCTTGACTAACAAAAAGCGCACTAACGCTCATCCGGTTTCGATGGATATCCAAGATATACCAAAGAGCCATTCATTTCAGTCCTCAATGACTTGGTCTGGCACGAACACATATCGTCAATAGGGGCAGCTGCTTGGGAAAA